ATATTGGTAGAGCCACAGCTGCCTCCAGCTACGGAAGCATGAGAGTTAGACTCCCTCCCTGTGGGCAGATCTGGCTCAAAAGGCTCACAGTTATTTTACAGCATCGATACAATCATAGCAAACACTGCCACTGCTGTACAAACAATTCATGGGCTGTGCATACAGCGTGCATGTGTACACTCAATGAGCGTTCATAAACACATGCAGCATGGGGCCTGAAGAATGCATCTCACCTTAACGACTGGATTAGAGTGTTGGGGTCAACGTCTTTAAAGTGGGATAATAAGTGTTTTGGATCTTCATTTGTGCATTTGGAAGTGGTGCAAAAAGGAAAAAAAATTGTTGAATATAAGACATTTTTCATGTAAATGAACATTGCAGATGGAGGATTCAAAGCTTCCGAAATTCAGGCGAAACAGAGGCAGCAAAGACTGAAAGAGCAGCCTCAGTTAACTTCTGATTCTGGAGCCCTTATTGACTTAAGTCAAAGATTTAAAGGGACACTATGCAACATTTTTCAGTTAATTAATGTGTTCCATAACGTTTTGGATGATTAAATGAGTCATTTCAGGTTGAATAAACGTATTCTCGGCCGCCCTGGTGGTCTGTGGGGGAAATACTGCACTTGCAACTGCAGGAGCACCGACCCGCACCCACAGGCTCAGAAGTCTCGTGAGAGTCAGTCTTGCTTTACGGCGAGAACTGCTACACGCCCCCAGTTAAAAGCATTCTCGTTGCTAGCACAGTGGCGATCTTTGTGCAGTTATGCTACGTTCACGCAGCAAAAGCAGCAAAATCGCGTTTTGCTGCTTGTACCAGTTAGTTCTGACGCGTGGCTGAAGCAGCTTTGCTGCTCCAGCTGTGTCTGAGGCGCGTTGGGCGGAGCTTCACTATCCTTTCTCTGCCTTGCAGCTATATTTGCTGTGATCAGTGGGAATAAAGTAGTTTTAATATGTGTTTAAGTGAGAAAATACACCTGAAAACGTAATCAGTGCAGTCAGTTCATTCAGATTATTATCCTGCCTTCAATATTTTTTCTGTCGGAGCCGCTCAGACCCCCACATACCAGCATATCAGCAGCGGTTCACCGCGGCAGCTGGTAGGTGTTTTTCATCTAAATAATCCAAACTGCATATTCTGCCGGCAGATTTCTGCATTTTAAGTTAATTTAGGCGTCAATAAACTGTTTAAGAGGAGAGATCATCAGCGCTGTCTCTCTCCCTGCGTTAAACGCACCCGACGCACTGCTTCAGCTGCTCAGACGTGCTGCGCCTGCTGCTCAAAACGCGCCACGCGGGACCTTTTGCTGCGCCATGACGCGCGTCAACCATTGACTTTGCATGTAAACTCGCTGCTTCTGTCGCGCCAGCTACGTCCAGTGTGAACGCAGCGTTAGTCATTCGCTGCTAAGCTCAAAACAACCGCGCCTGGCTTGACGGAGAAACCAGGAGAACAGCTGTGCATATTTACGACAGTGCACTTTTACTTTCGCCCTCTGGAGGGAGCCTCACTGGAAAATCAACACCGGTTGCATAGTGTACCTTTAAGGACTGAACTCTTAGCTTGGTAAGATTTGAAAAAAAAACTTAAATGGTAATGACTTGTAAACTGTCTTGAAGTAGAGTGTCTTTACTTGAAATGACTTCAATCTATCCTTAAAGGTATACAGTCTTTACATGTGGAACGTCTTTTTCAGGCTTCAAAGTCTTATAAACAGACTAAATATATGCAGCTTTATCTTGAGTTTAATTCAAAAGGTTAAACTCACATGGAGTTGTTTGACTAAAATTACAATTTATTTTATCACATCCATGCTATGACCTGCATAGTCATTAGCAGAATTACTACAGAAGCTCACCTTATACATGCATGGTAATAAAAAAGAAAAAAAAACCTTTTTTTTTTTTTAGAAACATTTGTTCTTGATGAGTGTGGCTAAACTTTAAAGTCTGTTGCTTTTCTGACCATAAAAGCTTACTGAAAAATACATTTGGCTAGTACAAGTGAACGGTTTCACATTTCAATAAAGTTTAAAGGCAGTTGATATGTATTAGGGTGTTTTTTGTTTTGTTTGAACACTATCTGAATTTTGGGAGATTTAAAACTGGCCTCACTGTGCAAAAACTGAGCCTTAGGTTCTAGCAGCTTCCAAGTCATTGCATATTTAAGGTTAATTGGTTCCTGTGTTGTTCCTGAACATCCTGACCTATTTCCTTTCAGAGGTTGGAGTTTTAAGCCTTCTTCTCAACTTCCCACAAAATTTAGAGATGTCCCGATCCAACTTCTTCATTTCCAACTCGATACCAATATTGCACCTTTGAGAATTGGCCAAAACACATATCGACCCGAGGCAATATTTGCATTAATGATACCCGTTTTTGTTAATTATTTTATACTGTAGAATGTTAGAAAAGGCTTGATCAAGTTTTGTTGCTAAAACAGGAAAAAAAAAAACAACAACAAAAGGTATGAAAACAACTGACCCAGTAGCCAGGCGATAAAATCTTAATTTCAATTTTGACTAAAATCGGAACCGATATCCGATATTAATACCGGATTGGGACATCTCTAATACTTGTTTAATCTAACAACTTTGGAATCTGCAGGTGTTGAAAAATGAGTATGAAGACTTTTTTCTAATGATGTTAAAGACAAACTACTAGTTTCTGTCAGTATCACTGACAGGATGGTAATAGGCCTTCGCTTCTTCCAGTTAGAAAACGTCCTAAATCACTTATTTAGTAATTTAGGTGCATTTGTATTTACGCATGTTTATAGCGAACCATGTTTTACAACTAAAGCAGCCTCCTTTGTCTTGCAGACTGAGAACAGTTAGTGAGTTCAAGAAGTACAGAAGATTATATTTGCTCCAAAAATGGGGTAGCTGAAATTATCATCTTTACACCAGATTTTATTATTGACTGCAAAACTTCAAGGTTTAAGCAAAATCAAAGCTCAAGTTACAACAGAGTGCAGTGTTTTGTTTCTCCCCCCCCCCCCCCCCCCCCAAGGTATTCATGCCACCTCCAGGTATGGTTGTTATTTCAGCAAGAAAAACTTAAATGGTTCAATGAAACCAGCAGCTGTCCCTCTTAGAAGGACTAACTCCGTGCACAATGTGTTTTGTTCATTTCTATGATGAGCTCAGAGGAGAATAGAGAACGATTACCATAATTACATCTCCCCCCCGAAGATACAAACTCACAAACCCAAGATAATGACAGTTTGTTAAAATCATCTTCTACGATAAGCAAACAAGACAACTGATGAAAGAGGAAAAGCTAACCTATTACTCTCTCCATACTTAAAGCAAAGCTGTCTCCAGTATTCAATGGGTTGGCCAGATTGGGGCCCTCTAGCGATCTTAGGCCAATCAAGTTTTATGATCTTGGCACTGATGGCTGGATTTGGTTCCTTTCTCCTATCTACTTAGCTCCGCCAAGCGCTCATTATCACACATCAGATCAACCTGTTCCTGCTTTCCATCTAAAGCTGCCTAGTCCCAGCCATAGGTGCAAGATTATTCGAGCAAAATGTGACGGTTTTCTAACCTTCCGGTGAGTTTTTGATTATCTGATCCTGACTAGTTTCTGTCTCTGGACGTCTGAGTTTTGGTTGCCACTGCTCTGCTATTCCGTTTGCCTGATCTGTTTCCAGACTGTTACCTGGATTCTGTCTGCTGACGACCGTGGACCTGTCTTCTGACCGCGGCTTGGAAATCCCTTTGGCGTATCTTCGGACTTCTGATCTTCAGGCCTGGAAAATTGTTCATGCTTCGACTCTGCCTTTGGATTATCCCTCCGGATTACATGCTCATTTTCGTTCTGAAGTCAGTAATCTGAGTTCCCGTCTCTACAGATTGTTCAGTGAACCTGCCCCAGCTTATGAGCAGCCAAACGTTTACTTTCTAATAAACGCTTGTTTTGAAATCTTCCTAATCTGCCTGTTTGTATTCTGGGTCCTACGTTCTAAGCTTCTGACAAGAGGGGTTTCAGACAGAAGTCCTCGAGAGTCAATGTTCTACAATATTTTTATGTGTCCCAAGTCTGGTTCTAAAGCAGAATGACACCAATGCAGTGTAAGAATGTGCCAAGTACTAAATAAAAGCAGTACCGTCCTGAAACTGGTCAGAGAGAAGCATGAAGTGATGGTAACTTTCCACTGGAGCTCAGGAAACCTAGACTCCATCATAACACTCTGGTTTAGCGTTTTCCAGAAGAAATACAAACCTGACTTTTATCTCAAATGATGTCTTTAGAATGGAAGAGTCAGGTCCTTCTTCCTAGCCCAGGTGGGAACCTGATGGTGTCTCTGTTAAGGAGTGGCCCGATCACAAGCATTGCAACAACTGCTATCAAGAACTTCACAATATATATTTTGAGCTGCAAAAATCCATGTGTGCAGTATCTCAAAGTACTCCTATGGGTTTCTGTGTAGACTTTTACAGCTCTCCAGTCACACTTAGATGGCTATTTGTGGGGGGTTAGATGCACATTCTTACTAAGAGAAGTAGACTGGGAACATCATTGCAATAATTAGCAACAAACTAAACAATGTTTTGATACTGTAACGAGTGCAGGACTAGTTAAAGCCCTTTAAGGCTCAATGTCCTGTCTCATCTTTTGCCATTCCACTAAACTTTCCATAAATATGCTTAGATAAAACAGATTATTTTGTTTCTACTTTTATGAATTATCCTTCTTCTCAAGACCATCTGCTGTACAACTGTCAGGACCTGAGTCTTCCTCGTGGTTTTGTGGGCCAAAACATTTTTTCCTACCGAAACCATGGATTTTTCATGTAACTTTGTCAATGTCAATGAATTTGGAAAGCATATTTTTGTTGTTATTATCCAGTCTTAGATAAATGTAAGTAAATGGTGTGTCTACACACCCTGACACCCTTCTTGGTGGTGCCTCTTCCATATGGGTAAAAGTGCAACAGTTTTGAGAAATACACTCAGAAATTACTTTGAAATGCAGTCAGCCATGGCAACATACCTGGATGCAGGTTCCTGTGTGTTCTCGGCACAGGCTGCAGTACAGAGCCCAGCGGCTGGTGGGGATGTGGGACACCTTGGTAATGGGCTCCATCTTCTCTGGGCAGCCTATACTCACCTGCAGAAAACAACAGATTAAATGACTGTTTTTCTTTTTTATTAACAAGAATTCTAAAAACCTAACCTTACATCAAAGAAATAAAAGAAAAGAGGAAAGCGGAAGGTCAGAGTCACATGTTTTTCATGCCGATTACTTTGAGCGGTTAATTCAGAGCTGGCTAGCAGTGCGCAACAAAGTTGAGGGCACTTATCTACAAAGAGCTGTTTCTTCTTCTCTTTCTCACTTCCTTTCCCCCCCTAAAATATCTTCCTCTTCTCATATGAGAAGCAGAGCTCTCTCATCCCCGTCCTTCACGCTTCCAGCTCCAAGCTGACGACAGATTTCCGCAGGTCGTGCCACCCCTCCTTCAATCCACTCATCCTTCTTTAATATTTTTTTTCTTTTTAACGTCTCATCCGCTTAAAGTCTGCTCGTTCTGCTCTTACAGATCTTTTTTATGGTCTTTTGGATAACACACTCTCATTAATGAGAGAAGGATTTCCAGTCCATGTATGGTATGATTAATTGATCAGCTTGCACTCAGGAAGCGTGTTCCTGTTCTTTACTTTGTTTGTCACAGCTCAGAAAGACAGAAAATGAAGGGTCTCATTATGTGTGTGCAAACCTTAAACACACCAATTTTTCCACCTCCAATTACCTCACATTTCAAAGCTGGTGGATGAAAAACTGACAAAATGTAAGATCCTTTCAAGTAAAATGGATGCAAATAACAGTGATGATGAAAAGAGTTTTTCTGTATTTTTTCTTCCCCGTTACAAAAGGCAAGAATAAAGCCATTGGGGCTGTGGTACAGTACATGGTAAAAGTGTGCTACACACACATCTTTGGGGCTATGTAAGCTATGTTTAGATATATCATTATTTTGATAGTACCTGTTTTAGTTAAACCAAACTCATTATTTATTGACATTGATCCTGAGAACTTCTGATTTTCTAACTGAAGAGTTTCAAGGTGAGAAGGAGGATCAGCTAAAACCCCTGAGGTTATGACCTTAAAGCAGTCATGTACATGCCTTAATCAAATTTATCCAATTTTACCCACCTTGTGAGGTCCCAGTTTGATTTGAAGAGGTTAAATATAAACTATTTTAACTGAATTAGATTTTCTGTGTGAAAAAAATGCAGAAAATCTAATCAACTCTTCCAACATCAGAAAATGTTGTACTCGCGGTCTTGGTTCTGTTAACTTTTCTCTTGAGTATTCAGTTTTACTTTGCTCAATGTTTTCTAGTTGTATTGGTTTAATTCATATTTTGTTTTGTTTTCTAGATATATTTGAGTTCTTAGGTTTTTCTTTGTTGCCCTCTATTGCCCTCTTGAGTTGGTCTGCTTTTTCCTTGCTCCTTTCTAGAAGCCTCTGTTCACACCTGCTCCCAATCAGCATTGCCTAGGCCATTCGACAGCCTTCATTTTAGTCCTCTTGTCTTTTGGTCAATCATAGAGGAACATTTTGTTCTACAGAGCAGGATTCCTTTGTCCATTAATCAAGACAAAGTAGTCCAAAATCATGATATTGGTGGGTAAAAATGGGGAGTGGCAGCCTAGTGGTTAAGGCATAGAATTTGGAATCCTGAGGTTCTGGGTTCGTGCCCCACTCTCTCAGACTGCTACTCTGGGTCCGAGCAAGACCCTTAACCCCACACTGCTCCCTGTGTGCCCCACGATGGCAGCCCACTGCTCCATAAGGGGATGGGTTAAATGGCTTTGTTACTTTTAAGCCAAGAAGCCCTGAATTACCTACAGTGGGCACTGGTTGGAAATGGACGGTTTCCTGCATGATTCCTGTGTGATTCCCACGTGAATCACAATGTATTTCCTGAGGCCAGTTTTTTTATTTCAAAAAGAACTGCAATGTACCCGGACAACCACCGGGTGGCGCTTGGGACCTCTGCCGTGCTGAGGGTGACGTTTGTGGGCCTGCAGTCAACTGAAAAGCAGGTTTATTGGGGATCTTGGTGTAATACTGTGCTATTTTATTTTGTTTTTGATTAAAATAAAGTTAATGAATTAATTTAACATAGTGACTGCATAATCTTATTTTATGAAAATGGTTGCGTAGTTATAGATACACCTCCGATCTTATCTGAGATCTGTTTATTTCTATTTATTTGCATCTCTATTTTTTTTTTTTTTTTTTTTTTTTTTTTTTCCAGAGTAATATACAAAAATTTACATAAAAGAACAAATCACCACCCTACCCTTGCCCTCCCAGAACAGTACATCATAGAACACTTTCACAGTCAAAACAACATGACGAAAACACCATATATTGATCTAAAGCATTCCACAAGCATGTAAAAAAAGGAAAGTTATACAGAGTATTAAGTAGTGACGAGTCAGTCTTAATCACTTTTTCGTTGAAGGAATTTTAGTACAGGGTCCCATACTTTCTCAAACACAGCACCCTTATCTTCGTTATAATGTCTCAGTCTTTCCAGGTGCAGAGTATTTGCTAGTTCTCCCAACCACAAATCAAATGAGGGCACAGAGTCATTCTTCCAAAATCTCAAAATCAATCTTTTAGCAATCACCGAACCAAACAAGACAGCCATTTTCTCACTTTTACTGGCTGGTTGCAAAGCACTGGAGATTCCAATGATGGCAATAAGAGGATCTGGATCCCATCTTTTTCCGAAAGCTGCTGAAAAAAAATGAAAAATTTTCTTCCAGAATGAGTGCAGCTGAACACATGACCAGAAGGAGTGCGTCAGGTTACCAATAGCAACCCGACAACGATTACAAATTGGAGACACACTAGGAAAGAACATGCTCAGTTTCTCCCTCAAATAATGGAGCCTATGTATAGTTTTGAACTGTATGAGATTATGTCTGACATTGATTGAACAATATTGAATACTTTTCAAACCCTCCTCCCACAGATCTTCAGATAACTGTTGCCCGAACTCATCCTCCCATGCCTTTTTAATCCTGGTCGTGTCTACGCATATATTGTTAAAGATCTTATAAAAGTGAGACACTGCCCCCCGACTGACAGGATCAAATTTATTTATTTCCTCTAGGGTTTCATGTTTTGTTAAAGTTCCAAAATCCGATAAATTTTTCCTAACATAGTCCCGTACCTGCAGATAACGGAAAAAACTCGACGGGGGAAGATTATACTCAGAACGTAACTGTGCAAAAGATGCAAAAGTTCCATTAATATATAGATCACCTATCACATTAATGCCCTTCATTGTCCACATCCGAAAGACAGCGTCACTGAGACCTGGCGCAAAGGAGTGATTTTTACAAATAGGTGTGTCAAAGTAAACCTCCGGAGCTTTTATAATTTTTTTTATCTGATTCCAGATTTGCATCTCTATTTTTTAATGAAAAATAAAATTAATTAAGTTGGAACCGGGGATACGGACTGAGGCGCAACCAGAGAAAGGCGATGTAGGGAATTAATGTGCACCAATGATTAAAATATATACATGTCTTTCACATTGAATAAAGGTCTTGCTTTAAAAGTCTAAAAAAGTTTGGTATGCTGCAGAAAAGAGACAGAGGGTCTGGCATGCTGCTCAAAGTGCAACTTTAGATCAGAGCAAGATGCTGCTCTAAGGGCTCTAAGTGCAACTTTAGATCAGAACAAGACAGTGAGTCTGGCAAGTCCCGCTAAAAGTGGCTTCTGCACTGAGGCTAAGTTAAGAAGTGCACAGATGTCCAGCAAACAGACAGCCGAGCCCAAATAAGGCCTATGCATGAGACATATGCTTGAAGAATAGAAACACAGAAGGTTTAAGTACCAAGATTATGCCAACCATGTTTAATGTGAAATGCTATAATCATAAATCACTGAATGAAAACTTTGCTCTGCAATGATCACTGAATGAAAACTCTGAAATAATAATGACTGGAATATGATGTGTTTTTGATTTAATGGCAACATATGTTATTATGACTTATAAGAAATATAATCATGACCTGTAATAAAGTGTTTTTTAATTAAATATATAAAAAATATGTTTTGAAAAGGACTTTCCTCCGGTAGGATAAAATTAATTAGACTTAACTGAAGAAAATGCATCTAAAATAATGAAAAGAAAGGAGGAGCTTGGGGGAGGAGCCCCCAACAGCCTGAAATGTATAAAAGGGAAGCTGTTTCATTGTATGTTCAGTTGTTCTCCGGAGATCATCTCAGTGTGTATGCTCTGTGTTTTTCAATAAAACACTCTGGACCTGGAAGACCGCAACTTCTGCCTGTTTTTTTTTAGATTTCTGGTTGAAGACTTTTCTGCTTTTTGAGAACTTTGAATTTTTATAAAACTTAGCTTCAATTTTTAAGTCGTTGGGAAGAGAACATCCACGACAATTGGCGAGCCAGCCAGGAGAAGAGCAAAAAGGGGACGTCGGACGAGCTACAGGCACCAGCTGGAGGGCGTGGAACCCCAAAGGGCCCATACTTCACCATTAAAGGTGAGTCAATTCGTTATAATTTTCTAAATTAAGTGGGGAACCAACCTTCGGCGACTGCTTGTGGGGTCAGACGTCACAAAGCTCTTCTAAAGAACCTAGTTTTCCAAATTTAATACAGTAATTTCCAAATTTGATAAGAATTTATGTGAGAACAAATAATGGCAGATAGAGCGGAGGAAAGGTCCAGGTATGTATGAGTATATGTGAATGCATGGTTTAAGTATTAATTGATGTTTATATTGACCTGTATTTGAACTGTTGAGTGTTGAAATAACTTTGTGAAAAAGTCAAGCTTAACAGATGTTGT